CCCCAAAACCCCAAAACCCCATCAGTGCAAATTGATGTGCAATATTTTGATAAAATAAATTATTGATTTTTAAATATGCAAGTTAATTAAATAAAGTTTTAAAAATTATATATTCAATTTTAATAGGATCAATTATTTTTTATATTGATTGATCATTAATTATTTTTTTATAGAAGTTAAATCAAAGAGTTCCTTATAAACTCCATTTCATCCTGAATTTTAAGAACTTTTGCATCAAGTCCTTGAGCTAGTTCTTTGAATTGATCATCTAGTTATTTAACTTGCTTATCTATTGCTTTCACCTGCATATTAAGTCCACTAGTATTTAAATGAATTGCATTATCCATCAAATCAGCCTTCATTAATTTAGCTGAAAGATTTCGTTTTAAAAAGTTTAGAACATTTTCATTAGTCTGCTGTATTTCTTCAAATTTATCATTAAGATTAGAAAATTATTCCTAAAGATTTTTTTAATCAATTTGAATCTTATTTTGAACAGAATGAATAGTTTAAATAATTTCTCCTTTTTATTTTTAAGAAGTTGTTCTTATAGTATTCTTTATATCCTTGATAAATCCCTACCATTCTCTAGCCTCATTATTATTTTAACTAATAGGTCTTCTAACAAAAATATAATTTGGAAAACATTCGCTGTTTTTTAAATCAAAATCATCTTACTTGAACAGACATTCTCTATCAAAAATCAAGTGAGCTTTAACTCTATATGATTCGGCGACTATGTTTTACATTACCCTTTCATATGATTCTGATATCACAGCAATAATAAAATTCATTAACACGATTTGCAAAACTAATACAGCAATCAGCCAAACAATCCAAGTAAAGATTACTAATCTATCATCTTAAGTATGGTAATCATCTAATTCAAAATCATTTGTTGAAATTCTAAAAACCATTAAAAAATACGCTAATTTATTAACTCCATTATATTCATCAATCTATTTTGCTTTGAAGATGATTAAGAAAATCATGCCAAATGATAAGATGCAAATTATAAAAACAATTAAGAAATATCTAAGGTCCTTAAAAACACCGGCAATCATTTGCACTATAAAGCTAAAGCCATCGAAAATTCTTAATAAGAAAAATAATTTCAAAAAGGAAAGAAAAATTACGATTATTTTCATTTAGATTACACTATATTAATCAATACTTTAATAATCAAAAACGCAAAATAGTATGTACATTATCATATGGTAGATATTAATCAAATTCCAATAAACTTAAAAGTATCTTCTTTTCTAAAAAATTATTTGTGCTATTTCAAAAAGAAATAAATCGAAAAGAATTATGATGCAGAATATTTTTGTGGTATTTTTAATGAAAATATTTAGTTGGAAATTTTGAGTCACTAATCCATCCTATAAGATTTTATCATTCTCTTCGTCATTATTTTA